AAACCCCTTATGAACTGTGGAAAGGGCATGCGCCAAATCTTAAATACTTTAAAGTATGGGGTTGCTTGGCAAAGGTGGGACTTCCGTCCTTTAAAAGGCCCAACTTGGGACCTAAAACCTTAGATGCCGTTTTTATTGGATATGCTGAAAATAGCGCAGCTTACAGGTTTATGTGTTTAGAAAACCGTACAATATGTGAATCTAGAGATGCAGTTTTCTTTGAACATGTGTTTCCCCTGAAGGGTGCTCTTGAACTAGATACGAATAAAGTTCAACATAATCTATCTTTTCCTGATTTCTCATGTAATTCAGAAGAGCCTAGAAGAAGTAAAAGGCCCAGAACTGAGAAAAACTTTGGCTCTGACTTCATAACATATATGACTGTGTGATCGTTTTATATGTCAACTTGTGTTAGAAGAAGAACCAAAATCCATCCAAGAAGCCATGCGATCAGTAGACGCCACTCTATGGAGAGAAGTAGTCAAAAGTGAGTTAGACTCCATACAGTCTAATCATACATGGGAAATCGTGGATTTGCCCAAGGGTTGTAAACCCATAGGCTGTAAATGGATTTTCAAGAGGAAATTGAGACCAGATGGTTCAATTGAAAGATTTAAAGCCAGGCTGATAGCCAAAGGTTTCACACAGAAATTCGGTGAGGATTACTTCTATACCTATTCACCAGTAACAAAGATAACTACTATACGTGTTCTATTTGCTTTAGCATCTTTATACATGTTGATAGTACATCAGATGGATGTGAAAACAACCTTTCTAAATGGTGAACTAGAAGAGGAGATCTACATGGAACAACCCCCCGGATGTGTTGATCCAGGCCAAGAAGGGAAGGTATGCAGACTTAAAAGATCTCTTTATGGCTTGAAACAAGCCCCTAAGCAGTGGTATGAAAAGTTTCACAAAACTTTGTTGGAGCTAGGTTATACCACTAACCGCTCAGATGCCTGCTTATACACAAAAGAGGTAGAGTCTAGCATCGTAATCATCTGTCTCTATGTAGATGACATGCTTATCTTTAGCTGAAGTATAGGAGCTATAAAAGAGACTAAAAGAACTCTATGTGACAAGTTTGATATGAAGGATCTAGGGGAGGCTGATGTAATACTCGGGATAAAGGTTACAAAAACTGAGAGAGGTTACCTTTTATCCCAAAGTCATTACACAGAGAAACTCCTGAAGAGGTTTGAGAGTTATGAAGTAACTCCAGCTAAAACCCCCTATGATCCCAGCGTCAAGTTATCAAAGAACATAGAGGCCAGTGTGTCTCAAGAAGAATATGTAAAGATAATTAGGAGTCTAATGTTCTTGATGAACTATACTAGACCAGATCTTGCATTTGCTGTGAATAAACTCAGTCGGTATACTCACAACCATGGTATCTCACATTGGGATGCACTGAGAATGGTACTTCGGTATCTAAGAGGCACAATAGACTGGGGCCTTAACTATAAGGGAGACCCAGCTGTGCTCGAGGGGTTCTGTGATGCAAACTGGGTAAACGACGCTGATGATGTAAGCTCAACTAGTGGATATGTGTTCACTATGTGTGGAGCCGCGATTTCATGGAAATCGACCAAATAATCCTGTATAGCCAGATCAATTATGGAATCAGAGTTCATAGCACTAGATCTAGCAAGTCAGGAAGCCGAATGGCTGAGAAATCTATTGGCAGACGTGCCATTGTGGGGGTGCTCAGCACCTGCTGTTCCCATACATTGTGATTCCCAGACTGCCATTTGTGTTGCGCAAAACAGTGTCTACAATGGGAAACGTAGACACATAAGAGTCAGACATGAATCTGTACGGCAGTTAATAATAAATGGGGTAATCACAATGGTTTTTGTGAGATCTGAAAGGAATATTGCAGATCCTTTCACAAAGGGCCTAAACAGAAAGGCCGTCCTTGATACATCAAGGGAAATGGGTTTGGGACCCATAGATACTTTGTAGCCAATCTTGGTGGTCTGCGTTGAGGTAGACTTGACAGAGTTGCAGGTCTATCCTAGAATAGATCTAACAGGGGATATTTTAGGGTCAAGAGTATGACCAATTATGGCGACTAGAACAAATTAAGTGCATTCAAGTTCAAACTTTGTCTATCCGATGAGTTCAAGATCTAATTCACTCCCGCGTAGAGAAGTACTTAATGTCACTATATGACAGTTCAAGTTTTATACACTGGCATGAAAATTTGTTTTGGTCGTATTCAGGCAATGTCAATACCAGCCTAATCCCTTTTCATGGTGGGGGATTGTTGGGGAGCATTTAAAGGGAAAGGCTTATTTTAGCTTAACCAAGTTGTCCCACATTGATAGTTTAACCTCTCTTTTCCTTCCTTATATACTTCAAGTCCTTTGAGATGGTTTGAAGTGTTATGAGAAGGGAAAGGAGGTAGACCACGCGCGCGCCGCCGCCACCGCCCGCCCGGCCCGACGCGCGGTGGGGTCAACATTTTGCTCTCAAACTCTTTTTCTTACCCTATTTTTGTGGATCCATTAGTGACCTTGTCCGCACAACATAGTAAATGTGCGTACAGGGATGGTCTTCACTGATTTGTAGTCCTACTTTTATGGGTAGTGGATGGTTGGCTATTGCACATGGAGTACTATATAAAGGTGATGATTTTATGTTGTTAAAGGCGCTGGTGAGAAGTCTGTTCGAACTATACTGCTTGCATATATCATTCCGTATATCTACTTCATATATATATCTGTTTTGCGTACATATATATTACTTCTAATATATATATATATATATATATATATATATATATATATATATATATATGCTTCTAGTTCGAACAACACAGCGAAACACCACCTTTATATATAACTGCTTGAGAGTCCGTTCTATTTTGCCGGTCGAAAGCATACGACTCAATCCCTGGTCGTGAATGTTTTTAAGGCAGTGTATTAGACACGATACAAAACCTTTGTCTTTGTCTTTTCGTTCCCTAACCTTACATCCACAGAGAGGGAAAAAACTCAACAGTTAGGCATTATAAATTGTAGGAAGATATTTTCCACGGTATCAGAGCTCCTGGTTTGAAAGAAAAATATAGAGTTTTTCATTTATCATGGTATCAGGGCATATTTGATTCACTGTGCATTATACCCCAATTTAGTGACCTGAGCTCAATCTTAGTCTATAACATAATCATTCACTTTGTTGTTATCATACCAATATGACTTATTTGTTGTAGATGCACACCCTTTAACAAACAAATGTGATATAAAACCATATAATTATTAAATATTGCTTGGTAGATCGCATTGCTAACTTCTAAAGTCTTCCATAAAACAAAATATGACTTTTACTTGAAATTGAACATAAAACCAAAAACATAATGGAGCGTGCACTGAATAGAATGTGAAAAAGGATTCTCTCTCATGCATGCACACATGCATGTTCTGAGATGCCAACCATCTTAAAACGCAAAAGTGTTTTAGTTGGAAGAATATATATTTCTAGCAACCCACCATAGGAAATTCTTTAGGTTGATCACTTTTAGAGAGTCTTATAGTAGAAATGTTATTTTGTGCATGTTAAATATTAATAGGTTTGAACTTATTTTGTCCATGCTATTTTGGCAATTTGAGGGTGCTGGATATGACTAACAGATAATTAGAGTAAGGAATATGGATTTTGGGTCAAACTCGAGGATATCACACCCATCAAGGCAACGATCAAGTGCTTGGGGTTAACTATGGAAATTGAGAAAGATTCTGGAAAATTTAGGGTGTGTTTGGTTCGAATATGGGAATCAGAATTGGAATGGGTATTAAATTCTCGGTAATGAGTTTTAGTGAAAGTAAATGTTATGCTATTAGAGCAAGGCCATTAGCTTTTTTAGGAGTTTTTTCAAATAAAAAAAAAAACTTGAGGTTGGTTTTTATACTAACTGGAAACACGGTTTTTTATGAGTTTTTTTTTCTTGCAAATTATAGTTTTTTGTGAGTCCGCAGAAAAGAGAAATGAAGGCAAATATACGACATTCACCGCCCACGCGTTAATCTGTGTTTTTCTTTTTAAAAGAAATTTTTTTTTTTTTACTTTGGGCTTGTTTGGTTAATGGCGGATCCGCCAAAATTTTGACGAATCCGCCGTTTTTGGCGTTTTGACCACGTCAAAACGCCAAAAACTTTGTTTGGTTAGTCAGCGGTTTGGAGCAACGATTTGCTCCAAACTGCTGAAATCCCAAACGCTGCAAAGGTTAGCGTTTTAGGGAAGGATTTTCCTTCCCCAAAACGCCCTCTACCATATAAAAAAAAATTAATTAATAACACAAGAGCCTAAGGCCCCTTTCGCCTTCCCTATTCGATGTGGGAACACATCAGATGGGGAAGGTTTGGAAATAGGGGAGTTGAACTCCTTTTATAGAGGAGTTTAACCCCCTATTTCTCTTCTACTTTCGATGTGGGATCATTTTGATCCCACATCTGTTTATCTTTTTTTTGTTTGTTTTGTTTTGTTTTGTTTTTTGTTTTATTATTATTATTATTATTATTATTATTATTATTATTATTATAATAATAATAATAGTTGTTGTTGTCTTGTTATAATTATTATTATTTTGATCTTGTTAGGTAGTATTATTTATTTTTTATTTTATTATTACATAATGAAGTTAATAATAATAATATTATTATTATTGTTATGAATGTCCTTTTAGGTCTTTTTACCTGTTAGCCGCTAATCTAAACAGTTAATTTTACTAAACATCTCTTTACAAATCGCTGATACAATCTGCTGGTCAAACCCGCTAATACAATCCGCTATTTGTGAACCGCTAATATGATCCGCTACCGCTGATTTGCCAAACAAGACCTTTTTTTTTCCTCTTCTTTCTCTTTCTTAGGTGTAGTGCAAAAACCAAGAAAAAATCAAAACAATGAGGTTGGTTAATTTGAGGGCAAAAATGCCATTTTGCTTTTTATTAGTCACCAAATACGGCAGTATTAATTGATCCTTGGAGGGAAAACTGGAGAAGCTTACCATGGAAGTTGTCCAAAGTCCTCTCCTGCCTTCTCCCAACCCCCAACCGATTTTCCACTACGCTACTGTTTCGTAGTGTCTCCTCAATTGAGGAACGAAAATGGCGAACTCTCAGTCCGATTTGAAGACTTTCAGCGTCCGGATTGTGTCGATGGACTATTACATGTCCCCTCCTATCCCCGGCCTCGACATATCTTATAGCAGTTTCCAGGGTAACTACTTTTACACAGTTTAAGGAAGTTAATATGGCAGTATGATGAGAAAGAATTAGGATTGTTGACGACTTTAATTTCAAACAAATGACTATTTGTTTAATTTGAGCGGGGAAGTGTTTAGGGTTTATTTTTGGTGAATTCTCAAATGTTTTATTTGTAGGTGGGAAGGTGAATGAAGTACCTGTTATAAGAGTGTATGGGTCGACTCCGGCTGGTCAAAAGACTTGCTTGCACATTCATGGAGTAAGCTCATTAGTGCCTCAATTGTTTCTATTATTTTTATTTGAGTTAATCAACATTTTGGTCCCTGAATAGTTTTCCAACGGTCAATGTAGTCTCTTGTTTTCAATTTCAACCAATTTGATCCGTAAGTGTTTAAAATTTCGTCAATGAAACCCTTTCAGGGACCAAATCTACAAAATTTTAAAAATGTGAAAATCACCATTTTGGTCCCTAAAAGAGTTTAATTGACGAAATTTTAAACAATTCGATGATCAAATTTGTTGAAATTGAAAACTAGGGACTACATTGACCGTGGAAACAATTGAGGGACCAAAATGTTGATTTTCCCATTTTATTTTTATGTTTTTGTAAGTAAGGATTTCATTACAACAATAAAGAACAAATATTATACGAGTTTTAACATATCCAAAGTATTCTTAGGTGTGATAGGATGTCTTGACACTGTTGAATTCCATAGGATGATGTCTTTAGATAAATTTAAAGACCACATTCTGCATTTTCACTACTTTTATGGTGTGTGATAGGATTGATAATCATATTTGGTTGGTGGCTAATTTTAGATACATTCAATTTGATTCGATGTGTAAACAGTTGAGGGGAGCTTTGTTTTTACTTGCTGGCTCCATTGAGCAACTCACTTCCCAATGTGATTTGAGTCAAATGCCTAAAATCTGATCCAAACATGTTCCTTATACTGCCTTTTCATTAATTGGTCAATTGTGTATTTCTGTAGGATCTAATCATTAATTTTGCATATTCTTGCTTAAAACTGTATTTATTATGATGATCTATTTATTTTTGATAATGTTTATTACTGGCTGCTGTGACTACCTATTAGGCTTTTAGTATATTGCAAGTTCTATGTATTTGTATAAATGTTCTCTGTGAATTATACTATTATTGTCATTCCTTATATCATCCAAACTCTGTAGTTTGTTAGACATCAATGCCATTATATGTAAAGCTCTCATAAACTAATTTTTAATGTCCTGCAGGCTCTACCTTATTTTTATGTTCCATGCTCAGATCTCTTCCTTCAACCTGATCAAGAAGGTATGCTACATTTCGAATGAGTACCGTGTAAAAGCATTACGTTTATGATTATAAGTTGTAGCTTGGCTTCTACGAGAAAACAAAAACTAATGAATCACAAGTCATAACCACCAAAGAAAAGTTAACGTATGTTTTGAACTTCAGAATTAAATGCCTTTGTGATAACCTCTTAAACATGGTGGATAGCAAGGAGCAAAATGCCCATAAAATGATTGATGGAATTGAAAATGCTAAGATGAATGTATAAAATACAAGAAAAGATCATACTAGAGATGAATATATTCAGTGTAACGTGCAAGTGGCACCACTTTAAGACAAGTTGAGAATGAATACTTTATGATGGTTTGGACATCTTCAGTTTAGATCAATGGATGTCTTAGGCAGGATAGATTAATGATAGTAGTATGAAATAGGCAAGAGAGTTTACACTGACACTTATATGGGTTGAGATTTGTTAAGAAAAGAAATGCTAGTATAGGGCACTAGTACCAAATTAGTTTAAAGAAAGCTGCATGAAGCTGTGAAGTGATAAAATCCATATAGTTGGCTCCAACTAGTTATCTCTCAGCCAAGTGAGTTGATAATTTATAGAAACCCAATTATCAATATTTTTTACTTCTTCAATTTACTTCTGCACTTTGGATATACAGCAGATTAGATGCAATAGTACTTGTGCTTCTCTATGATAGTAATAAAGGTAGACAAATATGTGAAGCTCGCATTGAACTGATTTACTTATATATCACTAATATTTTTGCTATATTATTACCTATTACAAAATTTTGAAGGTGAAGAATGCACACGTGGCATATCCCATGCTCTTGAGAAGGCACTAAAGGTATAACCATTTCGGGTGGGGAGTGCTAAACAGCTATCTGACCTGTAACAGCTCCTGTTGTATTGTTACTGATACATGATTTCTAAATTCATACAGCTTAAAGGCAATGTGGCCTCAAAACGTCAGCATGTGCACAGTTGCAGTCTTGTCCGAGCAAAAAAGTTCTATGGTTATCATTCTTCAGAGGAACTATTTGTGAAGATTTATCTGTATCCTGAGTTGGACATCTTGTTATTGTTAATTTATTCATTATTATGCACTCAATTTTTGAATATTGGAAAAGATAATAAAAGATGAATGTACTATGGTCAGTAACAATGATGCTGGATGCTGGTTTTTCCCTCCAGTTCATATATTTGCAATGTTTAATGTTCTTTATTTTGTGCTCCATATGTGCTTCTTGTTACTACATGTCCATCTTTCATTAATATTTAGAAATTGCAACGGAACTCCTTAACAGAAGTATAAGCTACTATCCACAGGATGTCTCTCGTGCTGCTAATCTTCTTCTGGTACATTATATAGTATATTGGCTTTTTTCTTTTGATTTCCCTTCTTGCATTCACAGTTACAATTTGCCTCATTGATATGCAGCAGCTATGCTCTCTCTGTTTCTGTGAACATTTCTTGCCATTTTCATTTCTTCAAAGAAGCAAAGAGAAAAAGGGAAAGTGAAAATGAAAGAGGGCAAGTGTAAGTAGGAATTAAAGATGGAAAACAAAAAGAAAAAAAAAAAAGAGAAAAAGAAAAAGGATAAGGTGAAGAGTTTAAGAAAAGACCAATTGTCCGGCATGTGACCAGCATGTAATATTTCTCCCTCAATTTAACAGAATTGGAAATGGAAGACCAAAGTTGTCCACTTTCCCACAGTAGTTGGATGAAAATTGTCCAATTTGATAGTTAGGTGTTCGAATACCACTATAATCTGTAATTAGTTTTTAAACAACTTATTGGATTATAGTTGGATGCATATATGTTGCCACTTTATTGCTGTGTTTTAACCCTAAGGCTACTTATCCAGTGGTAATTTGTTCCACTAATTGTCTCCAAGGAGAAGTGCTACTAAGCATAAAGGAAGAATATTTTTAGGAGATTCTCCAGGCTAATTTGGCATTTTGAGCTTTCACTTGCATGGTCTGTTTTTCTTATGCCTTGTTGCATGTTATACTGGTAGTAATAAGATCTTGTATATATATTTGATGTTCCTTAGAGGCTATTGAAAAGTTTAACCAAATTTAGGTTTTGAGTATAACTCATTTCTTTATCTTTTTTCATCTTTTATTGAAGTTAATACATGGTATGACAATTTCATGTCATGAAGACCTCTATGTATGCGCACATCCATGGGACCATGACATATTGACATGATTAAAACCATATCCTGTGTTTGGCAAATAAAAAAGGCAATTCTACATTCTAAATGGATGTCTTTATATTATGTGGACCTCCTTCAATAGTTGAGAAGTACACTTTAGTCATTTCAGGTTTATGTAGTTATTTTTGTTATGCAGAGGAATCATTCTTTGTTTCTGTTTCTATGCAGGGTGGAGCTGTGCTAGATAGGGTTTTACAGCCCCATGAATCGCATATACCATTTCTTCTCCAATTCATGGTAATCTTTTGCGTTCACAAATGAGTTTAGGTCTTGTCTAATACTTTGAATTGCCACAACTTCTTTTCTAAGTATTTTGTATCCTTTTATGGACAAATCTCTTTCCCTTAGTTTGCAGGTATTTTTTTTTTAGTCAATTCTTTTGTTTCATTCAATGAATAATAGATGTTTTTTTTTTTAAAAAAAAAAACACCATTCAGGTAATCAGGTTGGAAATATGAATTTGGAAAAAACACAGCAGCTAAGCAAGACTGTTCCTCAAGAAAAATGGCAATTTTTATTCTGGATATTCTGTTTGATATGGGAGATAATGATGATTAGTTTTGCAATTTAGAGCGATTTCCTAATCTCTATAAAAATGTTTTCTCTAAATTTTGTTGCAATCTTATTGGGTCAAACAATCTCTGAGGAGCTTATTTTAAAGGGAAGTTGGACATATTAGGCCTTTTAATGTATTAGCATGCTTGTGGATATACTCTATAGTCTATACACAGTATTAATTTGAATGTTTTAACAATTTGTCCTTTTGACACTACCAGTAACAGTTTGAAGATCCAACACTGATACCATACCTTAAGCCTTAGGAGTAATATCTTTGTAATAATAACTAGAAAAAATTTCTCAAGTTTAATCTTTATTCTATATTTTCGTACATTTGTTCCATTTTTCTTTTTTTACTATGCTACTGGTATGTCTCCTAATATGTATTCACTCCATGAAAACTTCTAGGTTGATTATAACTTGTATGGGATGGGTCATTTACATGTGTCAAAGATGAAATTCCGCTACCCAGTTCCAGATACTTTCTCCCCAAGGAAGTCAAATCACAATGAGCCAAAGAGAACTATTATGGATATTCCTGCTAACACTTCTGCAGATTTTCAGGTTAATTTTCTCAGTTAGTTATTTGCTGCTACTTGTTATCTTGCGATATTAAAAAAAAAAAAAAAAAAGAAGAATTACCTTTTTTTTTCTTTTTTTTTTTTTTTTTTTTTTTGTGAAAACTTAGGCAGATTCAGGTTATGATCCATATTCGGATCCACCAATTTGGATATCATCCACTATTCCAGATGGTTGGGTCTGGCTGTACTCTAGTCAAGATGATTCTTCCTCTGATCAAGCTCTTCCTGCCATGAAGCGTTCAAGTACTTCTGCACTTGAAGGAGATGCTGTTCTTGATGGTTGTTGTGTTTTTTATTCACAGAAACTCTTTTTGCTGTTTCCTGAATTGTATGGCTGAAGAAGTCTATATATGCATGTGCAGCAATTCTCAATCAACAATTTTTATCATACACATCCCTTTCACAGAAATGTTCTAAAGTAAGAATGATTCAATCACTGATACCAATCTGGGAGGTTAGTTCTCAACTGGGATTTCATTATGGATGCTCCTTTTTTTCATTTTCTGTTATGTTTACCTATTCTCTCTCCTTGGCTTTAGGAGTTTGAAAGGAATGGGATGCATGAGTTGGTCTTACCTCCTGATCCAGGGAAACCACTTCCTGGGGATGTTTTGAGGATACTTTCCAATGGAATTGGATTTGAAGATATTTTTCTGGAACCTGATAATGTGACTGCTTTATGTTTTCATTCCCAATCAATAAACTCATCCACAGAAGAGGTAATTCGAGTTTAGACATACTAATTCTGTAGACAGCATAAGAAAATTTACAGACTTTTTTATATCTTAGGGGAAACCATTTCAAGATGATGATTTGGGGAAATCAAATGAGAAGACGAATGCATATCCAAGCCAACTGTCAACTGAATGTTTGGAAATATCCAACAACATTCAATCATCTTCAGGTGTTAAGGTAATTAGTTGGGCTTTCAAGCGTTGACAAGTTCACATTATCAAATTATTCCTCTTTTTCACTTGGTTCTCTGTTTGGTTTACTTATGCTTATGATTTTGGTGAGTTATTTCTATGGTTTGACTTGAAGGAGCTCATTGCCCTGACCTGACCAGGGGCTCCTATTATGAAGTCTGCTACTGAAATTGATGACTTGGTGGCACTGGGACCTTCTAGGAATTTTTTTCAGTTCATCTTATTTTTGTATGTTGTTTTTCATTGGTGTGTTCTCTAAAATTGTTTTAATGAAATAGAAAATTCATTCAATTCTGGAGATTTGGTAGTACTCTTTTCTTTGTTGTTGGCCCACTTTTTCTGGGAGTACTTAGTGTTGAATTTGGAAGATGGAATGGCCTGGCGGGTGGAGAATAATACCACCCGCCAGTTAGGCGGAAGCAATATGAAGAATCAAGGATTAGGAAATGTATATAAAACTGAAATTATATTGGTATTCTCTCTGTTTCTAATACAGAAACACAGTACATATATATACACAAATACATAACTGTAAGTAACTACCCATAACTACCCATAACTGACACCTATTCATAAACAGACACAACCCTATAGATAAACCTAACTCTTTAGTTTTCAACACTCCCCCTCAAGCTGGAACATCTAGAAGTTCCAAGCTTGGATTAAAACATACACTCTACATTACAAATGAAGATTAAAAGCAGCTAGAGAATAACAGTGTTGGATGGCTTCGGAGGAACAATGCTATAAACAACCCTTGGGAATGAAGGCACCAGGGACGAAGCTTGTCACAAACTGACACGAACACCCTCACAGCAACATAAGCACTCTAGGATTTGCCAACAACAATCTTCATCACGAACGACAGAGCAAACCAATCTGAGCAGCAAATGGGAGGTAGTAGAGCCCACATGATTGTTGTATGAATACCGAGAAAACCACATGATTGTTGTTTATACCTCTTATAGGATAAGTGAATAACAAAAGAAGCTTCCGGAAATAAACAAGGTGCCAAACATGAAAACCCTAGGGACTAAGTATGGTATACCGAATATAAAGAAACAACTATGGTTATACCAAAAATACCCCGGAAAGAGGTTTGGCAACGAACCCAAAAAGCCTTCAAACTTCACCAAAAGGTCCAAGGGCAAAACAACAATCTGGAATTTTCACCGGAGAATACATCACAAGGAAAAATACAATTTTGATGTTTGAAATACCCTAGGAAAGTAGGCTCTGATACCATGTTGAATTTGGAAGATGGAATGGCCTGGCGGGTGGAGAATAATACCACCCGCCAGTTAGGCGGAAGCAATATGAAGAATCAAGGATTAGGAAATGTATATAAAACTGAAATTATATTGGTATTCTCTCTGTTTCTAATACAGAAACACAGTACATATATATACACAAATACATAACTGTAAGTAACTACCCATAACTACCCATAACTGACACCTATTCATAAACAGACACAACCCTATAGATAAACCTAACTCTTTAGTTTTCAACAGCAAAAAGAAATTAGAATGTGTTGTTGCACTTTTGTTCTAGTGCATCAAGGGCATATTCTCAGTAATTAATTCAGTGCCTACCAAAGATAATAAAGGGGAAGTACAACTTACATAACAGTGATAACACAATGAAGAAGTTTAAAGTTGGAACCATATCATAAGCTAAAATCTCCTATTTCTTCTTTGTAATGCTAGTTTTTGAAAAGCTGCATGGTATTTCTGCTTCAGTTTGAGTTGTTCCTTATACCTTATCTCTGGAAGGATATCTGGGTCTTTTAGAACTTTTGACTACAACATTACATCTTGAAGTTGAATGATACATGGATACAGAGATAACGTAGAGAGTTATGGATCCAATTTTGTTATCCTCTATGTGGCTCTACACATGTTCTTAAAGTAGATCTTTAATGTATTTTTTGAGAGGCACAACTGTTGATTTTTACGGAGTGATCTGCACACAGAAAGATGATTTAATGCATATTGGCCATTTGATCATCTACTATGTTCTATTCACTGATGTGATGTCTGGTCAGACTTTTTGGATGTTATGTAGTTTGACTTTTGTTTTCTTCTGCACTGAAAATCACTGCTTCAAATAGTTTTCTCTATAATATATTTCTGATTTATTTATAGTAACAATTTCAGGTTTCAGATCATGATGCTTTGGGGATTCTGAATTGGCTTGCATCTTCTCAAGCTGCTGAAGATATAAACTCAGATGATGACCTTGCTCGTGAGACCATTTTGAGTCCCTTAATGCCTTCAACAACCTTAGATAAGGTTTTAGAGAAAGCCCATGTGGATTATGAAAATGAATCTCAACAAGAGTGTGAGGACATCCTTGATACTGTACAGGATAGAGCTAACATCGAGGGATTCGATGGGAGAGCTGCTGATTTGATTGATTCTAATCATTCATGCGAGACTTCTTCATACAGAATGATACCTCAAGTGGATGGATCTTCTGATAGTTTTGATGCATTTTCATGTGCTGGTAAGTCACACCATGAATCTGGGGCCCCTTCAGGAACTGATTCATGGCATGATGCTCATTTGGCTATGATCAGTAACCGGAAAAAGAGAAGACAGAAGTGGGGCTCTTTGCCTGTTTCATCTGGTCAGAGAACGAATGATCTTTCACCTTCTACTGCACTAAGCACAATCAGCAGATGTGGCAATCACATAAAAGATGATTCAGGATTGCCTAATAGTGTAGGAAGTGGAGCAAACTTATCTCCCAGTATAGTAAAGGGATCAACCAAAGAGATAATGATTAACTGCTCTATGCGGGACCTGATGAGAAAGAAACGTTACTACCATGCTGAACCATCTGAATGCAGGACTCAGATAAAAAAATCCCCATCTGTTGAGGAAGACAAAGGTTCACTTTATATTGGACAGACGCTTGATGAGCAATACAAAATCCCCTTTGCTTACTCCATGAACATGAATTCGGGTGCTATTCAGCAGAGAGAATGTGATGAGACTAACTCATGTACTGCATTTCAGATGCATTATGAACCTTATGATGCCAAAACTGACAATTTGGCAAATGGTAAGTTGCCTATTTACTCTGGTGATTGCAATACATTGCCAAGAGACTCATCAAATGTTGAACCATGCCATTCTTTTGAAGGAAGTGATGTTCGGGGAGTTAGTGAAGCAGGTGTAGATTTGCAGAACAGTGGATTTAGTGGTGCACCACTATTGAATAAGAAAACTGATCCATCAGAGCAATATTCTCATATTAAGAGTTCTGTGTGTGCAGTTCAGATAAAACATTGTGCATCTAATGGTTGTGAAAATATGGACATCAGTATTAACAGTACTAAACCTTTAACTACTGATGTTGTTTATTCTGAGTTTGTTCCACATGCTCAATCATCAGAACTTGCAAGTGAGAATAAATCTTCTGGTGGTGAGAAAGTGCTCCGACGTGATGCAATTGATTCAAGTTGCCTATCTTCTTCAATTGGAGGTGTAACTTTTAAGGATGGAGCTGCAACTTGTGCAGAAGTAGATCATCTACAAATGACTGATAAGACTGGTTTTACTGCCCATAAGAGAAGTAATGATGGAATTTTTTCTCAGAAAGGAGCTCCTGATGAACTTCGTCCTTTCTTTGGGATGGATTGCCTGGTAGAAGGAGATTGTTACACTAGTAGAACATTGGACCATAACCAAGGAGGTCTATTGGGTGTACCTATCCACTATCAAAATGATGGTTCCTATCTATTCATGTTGACCCCTGTCTTTAGACCACCACAAACCAAATGTGTTGAGAGATGGCTGACACTTGATTCCACAGATGTTTCTGAAGAGAACAAAGTTGTATGTCCAGCACTTGCTCCATCAATTAAGGAATCCTCTAGTGAGGCAATAGGCTTGCAGAATTCTCGGGCTTTGAGTGGTAGTCAGCCTCTGATAGAAGCTGTGCCTGCGTCAGATCTAAAGCCTAATCTAGATCTGATAAATCAGCAGCATAAAGGAAGTCATAATATGGAATTGGAGCATTTTCATGATGGTATCAAAGTAATTCCACAATGTAAGGAGGATATGTTAAAATGTAAACCATCAACTGATTTCTCAGAGGATATATCTCAGATATCAGGCCCGGATAGAAAATCAAAGCTCACTCCTCTGAGTCAAATTGGTTTCCGGGACTCTGCAAGTATTGGTTGTGGGCAGCAGCTAACATTATTGAGCATAGAAGTCCAAGCAGAATGTAGGGGTGATCTAAGACCTGACCCTCGATTTGATGCTGTCAGTATTATAGTTCTTGTTATTCAGGAAGATGATGACCCTGTAGCTGATTCTTATGTTCTCCTGCATTGCAATGGTGCACCTGTTCAAAGAAACCTTGATGGATTGTCTGGATGCAAGCTTTTGGGTTTCTCTGAAGAGAGGCACTTGTTTACACAATTTGTGAAGATATTTTCTTGTATTGATCCAGATGTTTTGATGGGCTGGGATATTCAAGGTGGTTCCCTTGGTTTTCTTGCAGAAAGGGCTGCACATCTTGGTTTTGATTTGCTAAATAAAATTTCTCGTACACCATCAGAGACCAATGCAACTTCTAGATGCTATGAGGAAGAAAAACTAAGTGATCTTTTCTCTGAGTCTATAATCACTGATTCTGTGCTTCATGATGATGCTATGATAATCGATGATGAATGGGGTAGAACACATGCCAGTGGTATCCATGTTGGTGGTAGAATTGTTCTTAACATTTGGCGTTTGATGCGTGGTGAAGTTAAGCTTAATATGTATACAATGGAAACTGTGGCTGAAGCAGTGCTTAGACGAAAAGTTCCTTCCATTCCTAGCAAGGTATTGACAAGTTGGTTTTTAAGTGGACCTGGACGTGCCCGATTTAGATGCATAGAATATATTTTGGATAGAGCAAAGTTGAACCTTCAGATTATGACTCAACTTGATATGATAAATCGGACATCAGAACTTGCACGAATCTTTGGCATTGATTTTTTTTCAGTTCTCTCACGAGGTTCACAGTACCGTGTGGAATCTATGTTTCTAAGACTGGCTCATACACAAAACTATATTGCCATCTCCCCTGGTAACCAACAAGTAGCTTTTCAGCCTGCGATGGAATGTCTGCCTCTTGTAATGGAACCAGAATCTGGATTTTATGCAGATCCTGTTGTTGTTCTTGATTTTCAATCACTTTATCCATCAATGATAATTGCATATAATCTCTGCTACAGTACTTGCCTTGGAAAAGTCACTGCTTCAGAGTCCAATATCCTTGGTGTTAGTTCTTATTCACCTGATAGAAATGTTTTACAAAAATTAAAACATAAAATACTTCTAACACCAAATGGAGTTATGTTTGTGCCTTCTGAGGTTCGTAAAGGAGTACTTCCCCGCTTGTTGGAAGAACTATTATCAACTAGGATTATGGTCAAACAAGCCATGAAGAAGTTAGCTGCTTCTGAGAAGGTACTTCACCGGATATTCAATGCGAGACAACTTGCATTGAAACTAATATCAAATGTGACCTATGGTTATACAGCTGCTGGATTTAGTGGGCGAATGCCCTGTGCTGAGATTGCTGACAGTATAGTTCAATGTGGCCGCAGAACACTGGAAAATGCAATTTCATTTGTAAATACAAATGATAAATGGAAGGCTAAAGTTATTTATGGTGATACTGACAGGTGCGGAATTTTCTTTGAATTGTTCTGTATTGAATACAACTAGTTTATTTGTAAAAACAAGCATTTATATACTGACATAAGTTTGAAAGTAGTTACTTTATTATTTAATCTAGTTGGATTTGGTTGTGCTTCCTGGGCTCAAATTGAAATGAAATTTATTTTGTTTCGTTAAATACAATTCCTGTTTATTTTAGTTAATGATTTCATTTGTTTGTCCAGCATGTTTGTACTACTCAAAGGACGATCTCTTAAAGAAGCCTTTCAAATTGGTCATGAAATTGCTTCCGAAGTGTCTGCAATGAGTCCTAATCCAGTCACTTTAAAAATGGAAAAGGTTTACCACCCATGTTTTCTCATTACCAAGAAACGATATGTTGGCTATAGTTATGAGAGTCCTGATCAGAGCAAACCAATATTTGATGCTAAAGGTATTGAGACTGTAAGGAGGGATTCATGTGGAGCTGTGTGCAAGACAATGGAACGATCACTGAGACTCTTTTTTGAGCATCATGACATTGAGAAGGTACTGCATGTGACTTTTAGATTCATCGAAGTTTTTGAAATGCTGACCTTTGAATTCAAAATAAGTACATGCACTTCAATCTTACCTTCCTAAAATTTGTAGTTTGACTTGCACTAATTTTGATATCTTTGACATTCAAGAATTGATGCTCTGTTGATCTTTTCTAAAATAGTCACCTTTGTACAAGATAGCCCTCATAATGTTTTTTTTTATTCAACTATTTTCTTTTTAATTGCAAAAGGAGCTTGTTTTATGCCAGAGGTTGTTAGAGTCGAGTCATAATTCATTGATATCCTTGGTTTGCCTTAAAATACCACTTTGGCAAATGCATTTAAAGCCCAACTTACATTTTAGTATATTGATTCCTATATATGTGAATTCTGATTTCCCCACTTTAGAATTTCTTTTTAATGATTAATGTTTTTGTGGATTCTTATTGGACATAGTTTGTGTTAAAAGTAATAATAAATTAAAAGTTAAAATAAAATTTCATCTCCTTTTGTTTATTTCTAGGTTAAATCATACCTGCTACGGCAGTGGAAAAGGATTATGTCTGGCAGAGTTGATCTGCAGGATTTTGTTTTTGCAAAGGAGGTGCGCTTAGGTACTTACCGTGCACGGGCTTCTTCACTTCCTCCTGCGGCAATTGTTGCAACTAAAGCAATGAGAATAGACCCAAGAGCTGAACCACGCTATGCAGAGCGAGTACCTTATGTTGTTGTTCATGGTGAACCTGGTGCTCGGCTTTCTGATGTTGTGGTTGATCCTTTCGATCTTTTAACTATTGATTCACCTTACAGGGTAAATGACATGTATTACATTCAGAAACAAATTATCCCAGCTTTGCAGCGAGTCTTTGGTCTTGTAGGAGCTGACTTGAACCAATGGCTTCAAGGGATGCCTAGACCAGAGCGGGAAGCCATTGGGAAACGTGGTGTCTTTTCTCCAAATGCTCAAAGAACAAGAATTGATTATTATTACCTTTCAAAACATTGTATCCTGTGTGGTGAGCTTGTTCAGGCATTTGCTTCTCTCTGCCATAATTGTTCTAAGAATGAAGCTAGTGTTGCTGTAGCTTTGACCGGAAGGACCTCTAAACTGGAAAGAGACATTCATCACCTTGTTGCTGTGAGTATCATTATTACTAAGGATTTGAAGTTATTTGATGTGGATGCCTTATCACATTTTTTGGTTGCATTAATTGATTTGTAGCAATATTTAGAATCCAGGTTATGATCTTAGTTTGATCAATATATATATATATATATATACTCCATAAAATACACAGCTGCATAAATTTATTTTTCTGATGATGAGATGAACTCCTTTATGTTATTTTCACCTTCTTCTAGATATGCCGGCATTGTGGAGGGGGAGATTGGGTTTTAGAAAGTGGCGTGAAATGCACATCTCTTGCGTGCTCCATTTTCTACGAAAGGAGGAAGATTCAGAAAGAACTACAATCGCTTTCTGCAGCAGCTTCAGAAGCAGGTTTTTATCCCGGGTGTGTGGTTGAGTGGTTCTGAATTTTACAGATCGAGTAAGACTTGGTAGTATATTATGAATGATTATACAACTAAAAAGGGTGAAAAACAGCAGGGTCTTGCAGCCTGCAAAACTTTTGTTATATGTTTCTTGATATACATTAGCTAACCTTAATATGTACAGCGCGAGTTCTCAATAGTAGAAAGTGCCAAAAGTCAATATATATTTGTAGGGTCTTCACATTGTTCAGGTTGTAAGAAATTGTGTTGTACACTTGTACTTTGGAATTGAGTTGAAAACTTGAAATATATATATATATATTTGTCATTGATACTTAGCGGTTGGAAATACGAGTACCATTTTTTTTTTTTTTGAAAACCAAAGGACTTTAATCATTAAAGTAAATGTTCAATACATAATGGAATAGAATCAAGTCAAATTAAATCATCAGAGTTCGAACGAGCTGCCCTTGCCAGAACATGAGCGACTTTATTCACTGATCTTGAAATGAACTTAATAGACACACTTTCATAGTGTCGTTGAAGCTTTCGGCATTCGTTAATGATGCAACCTGCAAACGATAAATCTTGTAACGAGCCCGTAAGCAAATACGAGTACCATTTTTTATTCTCCTCACTTGTATGTAGAACTGTGTGTTAGTGTTTGGAGTAATAATGGGTTATTGGAAATTTATATAGTAAATGTATGTTTAAGGATTTTAAATATGTTACTGAACTTAAGTAGAGTTAATACTAGTTGGGGTTTCACAACTATTGTGATTTATTAAAAAAAAAAAAAAAGGTTACAAGATTCGGTCATTCAGTTAGTTCTCCGTCAAAAAAAGTAGTTGGAGACTGAAAGGCAAGCAGAACCATGATAGTATAGTTGATGTATAGTTCAACACGTTCGAGGTTTTAATTTTTTTAATTTCTTATTTCTTAAGTTCTGAAGATGATGTAGCACACATATTTTTGCATTATCTTGTAAAAAAATGGCTTTTTTTCCTTCTTGATCCCCCATTATAAAGTTCAATGACAATTTGAAATAGGTGATCACATGTAGAATATAATGGTATTTAAAATCTTGGAGAAGAGAAAATGATACCACCATGAAAATTTCGCATTATGATTTTCCTGCAATGACTACTACAAGGAAAATAATCTACACTGGATAGAAACAAAAGTGTGTTGCGCATCAACTGGCAAAAGTTCTTTAACTTCATATGTGGAATAGCTCAAGGGCTTCAATATCTTCACCAATATTCGGGCCTTCGGGATTTAGAAGTAGAATAAGCTAAGAGATTCATGGTCTCTTTTGAAGTTGGACATCCTCAGGCCATTACATAACTCTTAATGGGTGATTTTAATAATCTTAGAAATGATTATGAGAATTGTGCATCTAACCATTGAGTATAGCTGATCGCAAATTATGTCCTGGAAACGTGTTCACCGTGAATGGTGAACACAAGTCCAAACGACGTCGTTTTTACACCAAAAAAAAAAAAAAAAAAAAAAAAAAAAATCGCGGATGTGGAGTTAACGGCGCCGTTTGATCAAATTATGAATTTTCTGTTATGAGATTATGAATGTAATGAAAATTCATAATCTCATAACAGAAAATTCATAATCGCATAAAAGTAAAATATTTATTAAATTATGAATTTTCTGTTATGAGATTATGAATTTTCTGTTATGAGAATGAGATTATGAATGTAATGTAGATTCATAATCTCATAACAGAAAATTCATAATTTCATAACAGAAAATTCATAATCTCATAATAGAAAATTCATAATCTCGTAACTGAAAATTCATAATCTTATAACAGAAAATTCATAATCTCATGGTTCCAAAGTGAATGTGCAGGCATGGATTCATAATTTATGAATGTCCGTGATTTCGGACGGGAATGTGTAGGCATGGTTCCAAAGTGAATGTGCAGGCATGAATTCATAATTTATGAATGTCTGAAATCATTGCTCACCTCAAATTAAAGTGAAACCGCGAAATGTGAAAATGAAGAAGAAAAGTCACGCAATTAATTAAGGAAAAAAAAAAGAAGAAGAGATAACGGTGTACTAACACCGTTGGAACCGTGTTCACCATGAATGGTGAACACGGTTCCATGGCATAACGATTGATAGCTGATTCAATGTGCCAAAACGTGAAAAAACAACTTTGTTCCTAAGTTTGACGGAGAATTAACGAAAAACTTAACAAATGATCAAATTAGGTAACATTTTTGTAGTTAGGGGATTAATTCGAACAAAAATTTAAATAGATGACATTTTTGAGTAAAACGCTATAGTTGAGGGATCCCAACTGGTATTAACTCACTTCAATAATATTTTAGAAATTGTGAAGTTAAAATATTATTTTAAGTTTAGGAGTTTTATTAAAAGTTATTTGATGTTATGTTGATTGGGAAATGAAGTTTTGTCAAGGCCTATTGATTCATGTTACCTAAGATCTACTGATATTGTACGTGGTCCGCTGATGTACTCTAAAAGGAGATTCAGTAGTTGTATAATTTCGGCAAATGCATCTGTTGATTTCACCTAATGTCCATGGTTTCACCTTGTTGCAATTTAAATGGAAAATTTTTATTTGGACCATGGTTCAAATAGCTTTGTGGATCATGAATACAATGTACATTTTTAATATACTAAAAGTATATTATTTTTGTACTTAATGTACATTATTTGATAATATATAAAATAATATACTTTCAAAGTTTCAAATATTGTTCTTTACAATATACACAAATAATGATCTTTACCTACACAAATAGAGTAATTCTATATGCACGGTTAATTCGTACTATCATTTTCTAATCCTTATGACATGGCATGCCTTGATTACTTAATTTAATAGGGGGTTTATCCATTACTTTTTTTCTTCCTCCAATCAAATGTTAACACAAGTTGGATCGGAGTAAAATTTTGACAATACATGAAGTATTTTTCACACAAATAATACATTTTATTCATGGTTCACATGGACCATGGTCCATGAAATAATGATTGAATTTAAAGTTTAAACACTCACCGGTGAACACGTGGCCCATGTGCATGACTTCAACATTTTAAAGGATTTTGCATAACAGCATGCATGCTACGTAGATTGCATGTAACCGTGTGTATATATATATTATATATAGGGTTTGGCTTCCATACGAATCACTATTACCATGAAAACTTGTGGTCATATCTAGGCTACTCATCTAATCTAATGCACGGCTTTGATGAAATTTGGATTTCAGATCACCTTGAACACCGACGTTTTGGGAGTTAATTAAGGAGGGAAAACGTTGGCGGTGGGAAATTAGCTAGGTGGTATCCGACAAAAATGATGCTCTCACCTTATTCAAACACTCCAAATTGTGAAAGAAAACCTACACTCCATATTCTACGACATCAACCTAAATGGGTCCACGGGAAACACTATATATAGTGTTGGCGGCAGAATGGCAGATTAAATGAGGGCAAACGCACCCTTCACGTTGCAAGTAAAAACTTTCGCCGTTGCTAGGGATCGAACCCGGGTGACAGGCGGGAATACTCACCACTATACTACAACGACACAATTGGCAAAGTGAGGTTTTGTTTGTATATATTAGCTTATGAGGGACAAAGTTGGCGTTAATTGTTAACCAAAAGAAGCGCGCAGTACCGAGTTGTATTACTGAGTACGAGTTCACTCAGTCCATGGAAACCGCTGGATGCTCAAAATTTTCTCTCACACAAGTCTCAACAGCCCAGAAAAAGTAGCGCGAAAATCAGGTGTTTTGGGTTGACTTTTTTGTGTAGATTTAACAAAAAAGAGACAAAAATAGGTAGAAATAAAAAAATGAACTAAAATATGTAAAGTACTAATCTGATTACCTTCTTCTTATTAGGGTTTAGGAGAAGAAGGTAATCAGGTTACCTTCTTTAACAAAAAAAAAAAAAAAAAAAAAAAAAAAAAAAAAACCAAAAAGTAGAAAAAACTGACAAGCGTAAAAGAAAGAGAAGAAGGTATTCTTCTCTCACCTCAATTATATGTAATTTTTTTTTTATTTTGTTAAATAATTATATTTAAAATTTATATTATTAAATATAAATTATACCATTTTAAATATCTTATTGGGACGATCGAAACAAGACTAATATTGAATATATATTAATTAAAATTTCAAATACATCACATATAACTAGAACATAATAAAATTAATACGGAGTAACGATAATTGATCGAGAAAAAAAAAATGATCCATTTGATATCGGTTATCGATTTCGTCTTTTTTCGATAAGAATGCTCACCACCAATTTAGCTTTAATAACTCATTTAAAATCAATTCATCGAAGAAATTTTGAACGTTCATAATTAGTTTATCAAATTACGAAAAAATTTTGACCGCAAATTTATCAATTAAATAATACAAACTTTAAATATAAGTATTTAATAAAATAAAAAATACATACAAAACAAATAAATGATACATTTAGAATTATAAAAAGAAGCAAGGGCAAAATAGTAAAAAACTTTTTAAAAAAAGAATGTGAAAAGTTTGTGGCATTTTCGGCCAAAGCAAAAAAAAAATAGAAGAAGGTAGTCCAATTACCTTCTTTTCAAATAGGGTTTTGAAAAGAAAGTAATGACATTATTACTTTACACATTTTTGTCTAGGGTTTTGAATCAACACATTTTTGTCTCATTCATGTCAAATCTACACATTTGTTGCTATGTCCCGGTGTTGGGTTTTAGTTGAAAAGTTGATTTGTGGTTGTGGAGATGAAGCTATCTGCAATTTAATTTTGAACTATTATTCAAATTTTCCTCTACCAAAATGGGCAGTCGGGTTAAAGGAAAACCGGGCCTTTACTCCCTACCTCCAGGTACTCTCTACTCATTCCAAATTGTTGCCTCAACCTCCCTTAATCATACCTATACATACACTCATTTTATATTCAATTCTTCTGTTTCTTCAAGCAAAATGAAAATCTGGACTTGCATCCTCCTATTGATTAAAATCTGTCTTGGAATTATAATTGTATCTTTGTTCAAGTGCAGAAGAATCAAGAAATGTAAATGATTCTGAGAAGTGAATTTGTGGGAAAGACTACTGACTAGATAAAGCTGCCATGTTGGTCATTGAGTCAAGTTTCTTTTCATGGAACATGCTTTCTTTTCCATGGATAGAACTTGATAGTACAAATGTGGGGAGGAGGATGTTAAACACTAATGGTTGGTGACCGGAAGCGTCCACAAGCGAGGCAACCCGAGCAACGAGGTATGATTTGTGCGCAATCTTACTAACAAATATGTAG